GTAGCTCCAGTTCCCTCAGGAATGAGGGGTCAAAGCCTTTCTTGAGAAATCTGTTAGTGAAGCTAACCCCTCAGGTGCCTTGAAGCATGGCATGGTGTTGCTGCTGAAGGCTGAACTCCAGGGTCATCAATCCTGCCGAACTCAGGCCAGTTTACAATGAAGAATTCCAGCAACACAAGAGGCACTGGCTAGAGGGTGTCCTCAAAGCATGCAGATCAGTGTGCCAGTTTTCAGTTCGGTGATCTTGGCTTTACAGGACATTTCCTCTCAGAGGGACTTGGAGGGTTTTAATTCCTATAGCCATGCTGTCAGTCTGTCCAATGAGAAGTGATGCACTGAAATCCCTGTCTCGAAAGAATGGTTTCCTTCTAATAAAAAAAAAGGGAAAATTTTTGCATTTCAAGAATGCAATTTGCAAAGCATCCGTGTAACTAGCCAGGAAACAAGGTTCGCACAGGATGTGGATATCACTCTAAAGGTGGACACTGAGATAATCAAGGTGTTTTTAAAGCAAACCTTTAGCAACATGTTAAGTTCTCAGTGTTGTGTGAAAGCTTATTGCCAGGTGTAGTGGTGTGAGCCTTTAGTCCCTATGGGTTCAAGGCCAGCCTGGTCTGCATGGTTCCAGGCCTGCCTGGGCTACATAGTGAGATCCTATCTCAAAAAAAAAAAAGTCTTTTTTTTTATCATTTAGGAAAATAATGTCTACCCTTCCCTAGTATCATAGTGTTTCTTTAGACCCAGTTTCTATGAGCCCCCTCCACAGTTCTTAATGTCACCCATGCCTGCATGTGAGCCAACCTGCAACTCCAAGTTAAGAAATCACAGCTGCTGACTGCATAGCTGCTGGCTGGCTGGCTGGAGTTGATTCTCTCTGATTCTAATTTACAAGTCCAGACCTGTGGTCCTTTTTCAACTGTACACATATTAAGGTATCCCGGGTCTTCCCAAGTATGTGTCTGTACATGCCTCATGCCAGGCAAACAGCCTATCACATTTGACAGTGCCTTTTCTTTCCTTTTTGTTTGTTGAAACAGGGTCTTACTCTGTAGCTCTGCCTGCCTTTGCCTCCTGAGTGCTGAGATTAAAGGCTGTGTCTTTTCCCCAGCCCATATATTTATTATAGACTTGGGACAGTTTGGTAAAATTGACTATGCTCCCCAGTGTGCTGTGCAGATTTTCTCCACTATCTAGAATTCTCTCGTTAGAGTTGTGTCTTTGGGAGTTAAGAAACCATCAGCAGGCACCCCACAGTGCTAAAATGAATGATATATTCACTCCTTGAGACAGGGTCTACTTATATGTGACACCCAGGCTGGCCTCATACTCATGATCCATCTGCCTCAACCTCCTAGGTGCTGCGACTCCAGCTTGCACTTCACTCACCGTGTGCTTAATCAGAGGGTCCCTCCCAGCATCCAAAGGGTTCTGAGGGCCCAGTGGCTGGACCCAAAGATGGGTTTCTAGAAATCTATCAAACAGGCAAAGGCCCTTCACAGACACACTGGAGCCTGGGGTGACTTCGTCGAACGTCTTTATGTGGTTATGATCTGTCAGCCTCTACTAAATGCAATGGGGGCTGTAGGCTTCCAAAATGGTAGCCAGGAGAACAAGTACCAAAGATCGGGTAGGGGAATCTAGATCCTTTTTGTTTCTAATGTCTCCTCAATTTTTTTTTTCCTATTTCAGATAACATGTTAACTGTCCCAGGAAATCTGGCTGAATTTTTCATTTTCCACTATCAGAAATTCCAGGCTCTTGGGAGAGGGGTGACCCTTAAAACAAATATTTATTTTTAAACTTTTTATTTTTATATCTCTAGACCTTGCCCAGACATCTCCCAGTGAGCTGCCACTGGGAGATCAGAGTGATGGATCAAAGCTGTTCTAGCGACGCAAGTGCCACATAGACGCTGTCGAGGAGGGTTTTTGCCAGGCTACTTCCTGAATAAACACAACAGAGGCCGAGTGAGAAGTAGCTACAGTTTAATACAAACCTGCACCAGAACACAACGTGTTGGGCTGTTTGGTTTTGCCTCAAACGGTGGCCAAAGCACAGGACCATGTGTCATCTTGGGATTGACACGATCTTAGCACCATGACATTTACAGAGGAGTGAGGAAGTCCCTTGGGTGCTGCTGACAGCTCCATTCTGACCCCAGGCTGCGCCTGTCACCTCAGCAGCTGGAGGGGTTTGGCTTTCCGTGTGGTTCTGTGGTTTCTGGGTCAATATAAGAGATGCCCTCATCACGGCATTGGCTTGACAAGAGACCTACTGTGGGCTCCTAGCACTACACACACACATACACACACACACGCACACACACACACACAGTAGCACAATTTTCTGGTGAGTTAACCCCACAAACCTAGAGAGCAGCTAAGGCAAGAACAACAGTATTTATTCAGCAAGTACAAGACCAGGTTGAGAGCTGCATTCGGTGCAACCAGAGACCTTTTCATTCCAGCCAGCAGCCACTGGACCTGGGATGGGGCTGGCTGCAGCTCTGCACGGGGCAGGGAGTGGACACTGGGGGGGGGTGATGGTTTGTTTGGCTCCTTGAGCCTCCTTCTGATTTGCATCCAGAAGCTCCTGGGTGAGTCGAGCACACAGTTTATGGAAGGGTGGACTTGGGTATAGCAGGGTGGGGTGGGTGAAGTAGAAAGCCTACAGTGGCCCCTTGAACACGTACTCTCCCACCATCCCAAGACATGCATTTCTCAGGTGGAGGCACTCAGGTAAAGCTTTTCTGGCCCAGGCAAACTGCCCTGCCTCACTGGCCCTACTACCCCTCAGATCTTTGGCATCTGCCCAAGGCCCATGACCCAGCAAGGGCAGAAATAGACAAAGATGACATAAAGCGAGGCATGGTAGCTTGTGCCTCTAATTCCAGTGCTTGGGAAACTGAGGCAGGATTGCTATGAGCTCAAGGCCAGGCTACATAGGCAAGACTTTGTCTCCAAAAGAAGAAGAGGAGGAAGAGGAAGAGGAAAAAGAAGAAGAGGAGGAGGACTAAGACTGTAGCAGGGGTCAGTGTCAGTGTTTTCATTACCCATGAAGGCTTTTCCAGGGTCATTATCTCCTGTTCCCATGGCTACCTCAGTTCTCTGGGTTATCATTTCAGTTCCTAAGTGAGGACAATGAGGAGCAAGTGAGGAGGCGGAGGCAACTAAAATCACACACAAGATCCTAAACTTTTCTTGTCCAGGCTCAAACCAAGAGTATACATTAGTCTGCTCACAATAAAGATAAAATCGACGTGTGCAAAGCAAGGCAGAAAGCATCCTCAGGGAGAACGCATTCTGTCTGGTTAAACTCCTCAAGGACCTGATGTCACCCTACAACTGGATGAGGCAGTCAAGGTCATAAGGGCAGCCATGGACACTTTCTGGGGCCAGCTGGCCTGAACTTTTGGGGCCTCAGGTTTTTGTTTGTTTGTTTTTAACCTGTGAGATGGGGGAGAGTGGTAAGCATTCCACCGTTAGGAGGAATGCCGGCGGATGCAGGGAAGTGCTTTGACTCACCCACAGCACTGAAAAATGTGCAGGGCTGAGTGCCAAGATCTTTGGGATCACTGGCATGTTTGGGGAGCTCAAACAAAAGTGAGATTACTTCCCAAGTGGGGAGACGAGGCTTATCAAAGGCAGGCAGCTGGGCCACTTCTCAGATTGTGAGAGAGGCAGGGCAGGCCCACAGGAGTCAACAAGAGCACGGGGTTGAGTGCAGGATCCCACAGCACTTGTACCGTGGGGTGGCTTCTACAGCTGGGCCTTGTGTGTTGAAGCCTCTTCCCTGGTGGCTGGCTGGCCAACCCTTTCCTACTCCCACTTTCTCAGGTGTGAGGCCTCTTGCTAGTCACACAGAAGGAGTAGCAAGGCCTTGTCCAGCAGGGGCAAGTTTTAGGAAGCTGTGTAGGGGTATGAGGATATGGATGTGGCGTTAGTACTGGGAGTGACAAGGAGCAGAGATGAGAGAGGGGCCACCTTGCTGTCTGGAGGTTTCCAGGGTCAGCATCCAGGGCCATTTGAATGTGGGAAAATAGGACAGGGTGGTAACAGGTAGGGATGTGGGATGGGGAGGCATGGTCCAGGGCTTCTGGTAGCAGAAGGACCCTGGGTTGGAGGGAAAGGGGCCAGGGGGACAGCCTGCCCCCCCTCTGCCCTGTACTGTCTGGTTGGTGGTGAGTGCAGCATCTCCTAAGAACCAAATCTACTCCCGATTCTATGCTATGCTAGTGACACAAAGCACCGTTATTTTCCACAGGGTGCACAAACAAGTCAAACCAAACCACTGCGCAAACCAAACGTGCAAAACAAAACCATTTACACGCGCCTGGCACCAGCCCCATGCCCACCCAGCTACCCTTCTGGGGCCTGGGGCTCCAGAGGGTGTGGGTAGGGAGTGGAAAGAGGCTAGCAAAGGGCACAGGGTGTCCCATCCACAGCCGCATCCAGGGTGTCCCGAGGGCGACTCGGGAGAGATGGGACACTTGTCTGATTTGGGAAATGTCACCACGGGATCTAAGGGGTGAGAGGGGAAGGTTCTTACTTATAAAACACATCGGCTAAAGTGCTCTGGACACCTGTCTGGGTGGGCATCAGGGCAGGGCACTCAAGTCCAGGCCTTCCCAGAGCCAGCACTGGAGGTTGTGGTGAGAGGAGGGGCGGGGCCAGGCGCTATGCGTTGGGTGCTGTGCATAGTGTGGTCTCTGGGGCCCAGAGAAACCCCAGGGCCAAGGAAGGAGGAAGGAAGGAAGGAAGGAAGGAAGGAAGGAAGGAAGGAAGGAGCAGAGCAGGAGGGACAGCTCAAAGTGCCTTGTTAGGGGTGGGTCAAAGCCCCGTGAATCATGTTCAGACAAGGGGAGGGCTCTCCGCTTCCCGGAGCCCCCACCTGTAGTGCGCTGCCCTGCCCAGCCTCTCCCACCCCCTGCAGCTGTGGCCAGAAGGTGTGCAGGCGGGTGGCGGTGGAGCGTCTTCACTTGCGGGTGCTGGTCAGAGCCTTTACCAAATACCGCTCGACCTGCCTCCAGGGGGCGCGAGGATCCGCGCTGAGGCCCGCTTTGGAACGTGGTCATCGATCTGAGAACCTGCAGGAAGGAAACAGGGAACTGAACACAGGTCCTTGATGAGAGGCAGTACATGCTCTCAACTGCTGAGCTATCTCTCCAGCCCCATGCCTGGCGTTTTCAACACGGGTTCTTGGAATTGAACTCAGGTCCTTGTGTTTGCAAGACAAGTGCTTTACTGACTGACCCATCGCCCCAGTCCCAGGTATTCAGTCATTTGACCCTCATGTCTCTGTTCCATTATCTGTTTGAAAAAAATTAGGGTTTAGGGGCATTATATAATTTCCACATTTTACCGTATAAGGGATTTGAAGAGCCTGGGTTTGAACCCAGGTTTTCCTGACTCAGAGCCTACTTTATGAGTTTCCCTACTCACTCACACAGCAGCAGACTTGTCCTGTTAGACCAACAGATTAGCCAGTTATCACACAGACCTTCACACACAGGTCTCAGTGAGTAGACCAGACACTAAAACAGGAAACTGGTAACTATTTTGGAAAATGAATGACCCATACTCCAGAGGTTCTACCCTCTGGAATTCTCAGAAAGACAGGTCTGGAATCCCAGAGATCACAGTGGGGGTGTTATTCAGTATTCCTCATCTCCAACAGATTAAGATTTGGGGCTGGGAGAGAGATGACAGGCAACTTAAGGCCTACTGTGTCAGAAGGAGCCATTGTCCAGTTATGGCTCTTGGGCTGGGGTAGAAAAGGCCACTGGCTAGTCAGGCCCCAGAGCCCCAGGGTCCTACCACTTCGTGTGGGGTCAGCTGATGTAAGGCTGTGATGTACACAGGTAACCCTAAGAATCCACACATCCTGGACCGGCAAAGCTTCAGGGTGTTTGGACAGTGCACAGGAAACAGCTTGTGGAAGTGAGGAGTCCTTTGGGAGGGTGTTTTTGGAAGTCACCTCCCCACAGGTCCCTGGCATAAGCTGCTCTTATCACAAAGCTGGGAGCCTAGGGATGGCCCTTGGTAGGTGGGCCCTAACTGCCCTTTGGCTTCTCATCCCAGGGTGGTTTGTGTTTGGTCCTCTCTGTCTCTGAATGGACTCTGCTCTTGTTCATCTTGCTTTCCTTCCCCAGACAGAGACAATCCTTGAGGAATAGATTCTCTCTGGCTAGTTCCAGGGCTAGGGAGGATGGGTTGCTCCCTTTCAAGTGCTGTGATGGATCCCACAAAAGCTTCATGAAGGACTAACATACCTCACAGATTCTGTCTGTTCTCCATTGAGAACATATCATTTATGAGGTCCATCCAAGGACCACAGGATATCTGAGGTAACGTGATGTATAACTGCATAGGCAGCATGGCCTAGGGGGACGTAGGCTCACTGTTAGTGTCACTAGAAAGGCATAGTACTAGTAGGCTCCTGACTCAGAGAGCCTACTAGTACTATGGGGACTGGCTACAGGTGTATGGGGACAGAATATGACTGGGAGACCTAGGTATTCTGTAGATAGATCAGAGCCAGGCCATGGAGATGGGGTGAGGAGGGAGGAGTCAGAGCTAAAAGAAAGAAACATTTTACCTAAAGTTAGTGAAACGAGAGGTGGGAGCGAGGGTGACAGGTCAAGGCCCCAGGGCAGAGACGCATAATGAGAGTAACAGGGGCTACAGTGAGGCTGGCAGGGGGAGGGGACAATGAGGTATATGACAGCAGGGAGGACTGTCCCATCTGAGCCCTGGATATCTCTGGGGTACCCTGTGTGCAATGTCTTCAAAATGTTTCAAGGGGTGAAAACATTTCTCCAGGGAGAGCATCTTGTGGCCCGTGGCCCCTCTAGCAGCTGGTGAGCTCTCCCAGCCCCTTTAGTCTGTGTATCTCTAACAGCTCATGCTGTACGTCCTCATGGCTCTACAGAGGACCTACAGGCTGCAGCCCACTGCCCAGGCCTCTCTTCTGCCTGCCAGTTCCCACCAGACCCTCACCCTTACCTGAAAGGCTGAAGCTGGATTCATGAAGGTCCCGCATGCCCCCATGCCGGGTGACTGGCCGTGTGGGAGTGTCTGCCAGTGGTGTTCCCATCTCTTTTTTCCCAGGGTGGACAACAACAGCGACGTCCCCTAGGTAGGGAGTGCGGTCCACTCCCCTCACTTTTAAGGTCTAGTAAAAAGAAAAGACAGGAACATCAGAGCCGAGCACACAGCTGCAGCGTCCTCCACTGACACCTGCTACGACCGCACAGGACCCAAGACACACATGTGACAGGCTTCTTGTTTCTGTAGTCCAAGTGCTGAAGAATGCCTTTCTAGCTTCTACACATGATGAGTGTGTGCACACACGTATAAGTGCGCATGTGAGAAGGTGCCTCAGTCTCTGGAATCCTTCCAGAGGAGTCTGGCAGGGATACAGTTGAGGAACTCCTCCATTGTGAACATTCTGGAGCATGCAGCAGGGCCATGACAAGGCCAGGCTCCCAACAGGCCAGCCCTTTTCCTGTGGTCTGACGACGCAGAGGAAACTTAGACTAGGTATAGTTGGTTTGGACATGGGACTCTGCCGAAAGAAATCCTAAATAAAGGGTTAGGAGTATACTTGCACAAACCAGACCACCAAGGTTCTAACCTCAGCTCTGTCGCTTAAAGCTGTCCTGGCCTAGGTCAGTTATGGTGACTTATAAGGTGAATACCGACTGATACGGAGCCAGAAGAGATATTAAGGTATATTTATTAAGGAGATGCCTTACTTACAGAGCACCTAGCCAGCCGGCAGGGAACAAAGTAAGAAGCAAGACAATGGAGCAAGGGCAGAAGAAGGGGGCTCCTATACAACCTCCCTCACGCCACTCTCACGTCACCCTGACCATGCCCTGGCGGGCGTGGTCGGCCACACCTGTAGCCAGCCCCGAGGAGGCATGGTTACAGTGTCCCCCTACAGTGACTCACTATATTAAAAGTGTTACTATGACGGGGAGACGGTGTGTTGGAGTATGTTCGGGTGGCTGAGGGAGCAGCAGCCTCAGCCTAGATGTGAGCACTGTGTCCTTTGGGATAGAATCTCAATTGCACTGTTGCATGCTGCCTGTCCAGTCTTACTGAGAGAAGCAACAGGCATGGGGGATTTTTGAAGGCATCCTTGGCATTAGCAAGAGAGGACAGGAACTGAGCAATGAACTGGTGTGTCAGGAGGAGCTCACTGGCCACCAGCACACCTACCAGACTCCCTATATGCTTGCCCATTTAAATTTTATCTACCCAGACTGTAGAGATGGCTCAGAGGTTAAAAGTGTGTACTCCTCTTTGTAAAGGCTATGAGTTCAATTCCCAGTACCCATGTGAGGTGACTATCAGCCACCAATAACTTTAGCTCCAGGGGTATCTGAACCCTCTGGACTCCATGGGCACCCTTACTCACATGTGCATGCATGCATACATACATACATACATACACACACACCAACATATATGCACACATTAATAACAACAATAAGATTGATGCAAAATGGGAAGTGGAAACCAGCATTTTCCAACTCCACCATTCTTATTGCCTCTGCCACATGCTCTCCTGGACAGATGGTGACAGATAGCATCCAGAGGAAATAGTGTGTTAGGACTTGAATCTGAAATGTGCCCCCAACCCCAGGCTCACATTTTGAATGCTTGTTCCCTGGCTAGGGGCCCTGAAGTCTTCAGGAGAAGGGACTTGGCTGGCAGAAGTAGGTCACTGGGGCAGGCCTTTGAAGGCTGCTAGCTGGCCTCTAGTTCTGGCTTCTGGCTTCTACCCTGCCTGCCGCATGTGCAGTCTCTACCAGTGGTTTCAACCTGCCTAATGCTGCGACCTTTCAATACAGTCCCTTATGTAGTGGTGATCCCCAACCATAAAATTATTTAATTGCTACTTCATAACTGTCATTTTGCTGTTATGAGTCATAATATAAATATCTGATATATGACCCCTGAGGGGGTTGTGACCCACAGGTTGAGAAACACTGTTCTATACACTATTATTATCATGAACTGCACCAGGTCACATTAAAGCTTCTGAAATCATGAGCCCAGTTAGCCCTTTCCTCTCTTAAGGTATTCTGGTCACACTAATGCAAAAATAGCATACAACATGACAGTGTCTGAGAGTTAATGGAGGAAGGTGAAGATGCCCCCAATGGGGGCTTTGAGCTCACCCCACACATCTTCCTTCCTGCTCCACCTTACCTTCTCTCTCTGCACCAGCTTCTTATAGACAATGTCTGGGAAAGACCGCAGGGGACAGAACTTGCCAGTGCCCTCTGCACACATGAAGACGCCATTCTCATACACGACACGTCCCCTGCTGATGGTGACCAGTGGTACGCCATGGCAGCGCATGTTCTCATAGAGATTGAAGTCTCCACCCTGCACCTGGGTGCTGGCTGAGATGGTCCTGGTGGGAGATGAGGATGGGGCAAGATCTGAGTACTGGTGAAGATAGTACAGCTTGATACAAAGAAATGCTGCCTGGTGGGAAGGAATGGTACCCTGAGCCATCTGACTTGGGCTTAATTGCATCCCCTTACAATTCTTGTGTTGAAATCATCACCCCCAGGATCTCAGAATGGGACTATATTTGGACACAGATACTTTAGAGAATCAATGCAAAAGGAGGTTATATACTTTTGTATATAAGAACTGTGGGCCAGGCGTTGGTGGCGCACACCTTTAGTCCCAGCACTCAGGAGGCACAGACAGGTGGATCTCTGTGAGTTCAAGGCCAGCCTGGTCTACAGAGTGAGTTCCAGGACAGGCTCCAAAGCTACACAGAGAAACCCTGTCTGGAAACAAAACAAAACAAAACAAAACAAAACAAAATGTGTTCTTTTCCTATCTGACTGATGTCCTTGGAAGAGGAGACAGAGACATTGGACATGGGTACACAAAGGAATGGTTATACATATGAGCATGGGAGGCAGACAGTCATCAGCATGTCACTGCCACATTCCTCTACACTCGAAATGCTGCAAAGATAATTCGCCTTTGCAGTTCTGTAATACAAGTTCTTAAAAATCCCAAGTCCTCCTAGTCCCAGGAGACTCATGACAAGCTTTACTTTGTGGCTTCTGGGTCCCACACCACCACGTCAGCGTCGGCTCCGGGGATGATGCGGCCCTTGCGAGGATACAGGTTGAGAATCTTGGCTGCATTGGAACTGGTGACAGCAACAAAGCGGTTCTCATCCATCTTCCCTCCAACCTGGAATGTGGGAAAATGTCGGATCAGCCCTATATGGATGTGTGCTCCACCCCACTGTTGCTACCCAGCCTGGCTCTGGATGTGTGGCTCCCTGTCTCCCCCCACTGTTGGTACCCAGCCTGGCTCTGGATGTGTGGCTCCCTGTCCACCCTCCCCCCCCCCCGCCCCGCTACTACCCAGCCTTTGGTCTTTTAGTTCAGAGGGCCACAACTGTGGTCCTAAGGCAAACAGTGCTATAGGCACTGTCCCAGTATGAGTCAACTGGCAGAGCTTGAGAGTCTGATTGTCCCTTTATCCCTCACCCAGCTACCCTGGTGACTTGTGCCAAAGGCTGCCTGCCTGGGGCAAATACACCTCCTAAGGCAAGTTCCATTCATGTGCCCACTTGGGATGACTAAGGGGCTACCCTTCAATGTGTAAAAGCGCAAGTCCCCTCTTGTTTGCTGGTATTCTTTCAAGCCACACAGGATGCCCAAAATTACCAAAAAACTGAGCCCCGTTCATATTAGGCTTATTCATATACATGTATACCTACAACCAAGTTAACTCAAAAGTTAGGTACAGCAGGAAGCTAACAATAACTAATACAATAGAATAATTTAACATTATACTGTAACAAAAATTATTGCAGTATAGGATGTGGTAGCTCATGGCCTGTAATTTTATCTCTGGGAAAGCTGAGGGCTTTTGTGAGCAAAAGTAGGACTCTTGTTTAAGTTTAAGGCCAGCCTGGGGTAAAGTGTGAAATCCTGTCTTAAACAAATAACTCCCCCAAACTTGTGAACTATTTTTAGAATTTTCCACTTAATGTTTTGTGTACTGGGGCCATCCGAAACTAGCTATAGGGGGAGAGACTACAGTATATTCTGTGTTCTGAAAGAACTACCTACTCTGCCACAGGCAGCCGTGTGCCCCTCCTCAAGGGACACGTCCTGATCTAAGTCCTGGCCTCAGCTTGGGTAGATGGCTTAGTTTTTAGGACCTCAAATTTCTTTAAGCTCATACTGAGTGTTGAGAGTTTTCTGAGACAGACCAAGACCAAAAAGTACTTACTCTCCATGGGCAGAACAGGTGGTATTCAAATGAAATCCCACCTCTATCTCTTTTGAAATTCAATTAGACAAAATATACCCAGGACTTTATATTCATATCCCTTGACCCAAAGATCCCCTTCTAGAAATCTGTCCTAAGGAAGTAATTAGAAATGGTGACATTCACAAACAAGGACTCCTCTACAGCAGCATTTGAAGTGTGAAGACTGAAAATAGCAAAGGTTTCAAAGGAAGAATTAAACATAGCATTTCCATTGGAAGGAGTATTTCGTAGCAATTTTAAAAAGATTGTTTGAGCCTAGGGATGTAGGTAGTGGTGGGACCCTGGCCTAGCGTGCATGAAGAGATGAGCTAGGTCATAAGTACCAAAACCCAGCTTTTAAAAAGCCTACAACTTTGTAGAGCTCTAGGAAGACACTCAAAATGACTTAAAATATTAAGAAAAAAAGATGAATCCAGTTACTAAAATAATGTATGTAGCCAGGCACAGTGGCTTACACCCAAAATCCTGGCACTTGGGAGGATGAAGCAGGAAGACAGCCAAACATTCAAGGCCAAACATGTCGACAGAGAAAGATCCTGCTTTGGAAACCAAAAAGAAAAGTCCAATACATGCACTGAACTAAGAATGCTAACCAAACTAACCAAAGTGCTAAAGTTGTAGGTACTGAGTTGTACGGATTTTTTCCTTATGCGTTTTTGAACTTTTCACATTTTGCTAACAGGTCCTATCACTTTCTGAGGTAATGGGGAGAGTGACGTGACGCTATGCTAGCTAAGCATGACTACCTACTGACACTACCAACCTTGCTGCTGGCTAACACAGGAGCTGTGGTTGGGTCAGCTCTCCTGAGAAGGCTATTCTTCGTGGTCAGCTTGACTGGAATTAACTAAAACCCAGAAAGCTAGGCACACCTCCTGTGAGAGATTTTTCTTGATTGGATCATTTGAGGTTGGAAGGCTCATCCCAAATCTGGGTCACACTTGCTCTCTCTCTCTCTCTCTCTCTCTCTCTCTCTCTCTCTCTCTCTCTCTCTCTCTCTCTCCCTCTCCCTCCCTCCCTCCTTCCCTCCCTCTCATCTCTTTCTCTTTCTTTTTCTTACTTTCCAAGACAGGGTTTCTCTGTGTAACTTTGGAGGCTGTCCTGTAACTCACTCTGGAGACCAGGCTGGCCTCCAACTCACAGAGATCCTCCTGCCTCTGCCTCCGGAGTGCTGGGATTAAAGGCGTGCGCCACCACTGCCCAGCTCTGGGCAACACTCTCTGGTAGCAAACACACACACACACACCCAACACACACCCACACCCACCCACAACCACACACACACGCACAGAGAGAGAGAGAGAGAGAGAGAGAGAGAGAGAGAGAGAGAGAGAGAGAAGGAAGCTTATTCTCTGCCTGCTTGTCCTCACTCTCGCTGGCAAGTTCATATACACTGCCACTGATGCATTCCTTCACTGATATTAGAGCTACTTTGTTGGAATTCCCCCAACATATACTTAAGACCAGTTGAGACATCCAGCCTTGTGGACTAAATGACTATTGGATTCTTGGACTTTCTGTTGGGGGACAGACATTGTTGGGTCAGCCTATAAGCCATTCTTAAGAGTTCCCCTTTATGTATGTTCACTCGATCAGTTCTGTTCCTGTAGAGAACCCCAACAAACACACCCCTGAAGAGAGGCATGGCTGCAGACACCTACCACTCCCCTCTCCCAGATCACGCTCATTCGATCCTGCACGCCGCTCACACCATGTGGGATCTTGGTGAAGTCTTCCTTGCCCATGGCTTTCTGCTTGGTGGTGAATGGCCGGTGATCTGATGCCACAATATTCAGCGTGTCACTGGGGAGAGAGAAGTGACCAGTGAGGGGACAGAAAGCAGATGTCCCAGTATAGTAAGTAGGTGGGGACAAGTTGAGGGGGAAAGCCAGCCTGGGCTTGGGAACCTAAAGAATCCATTTCCCACCTGATTCTGCTGCTTACTTGTTGGGGGACCTTTAATGATTTGTTTCTTTCATGTAAGTGAAGAGTTTATCTATCTACAGAATTGGCATATGTGCAGAGCATGTTCCAAGAGACCTCAGCAAATGCTTGAGTTGGTGATTGTTACCATAGTGGGTGGAGAACAACTTACCCACCAGTTAGGGCTTCGCTGGGGTGAGATGATAGAGGTGGTCTTAATGTGTAAGGCTCATACACTAACTCCTCAACAGCTCGCCTGCCCCATGCTGTCTCAGCAGGACAGACACAGTAAGTGTTTGACAAAGCTTTCCCAAGTTCAGTGCTAACCTTGTTAAGTGACCGGTAGCTACAACACTCAAGAGAAAGCATGCCAAGACTTATTAACAAACTACCATTTGGAAGTTGGTGACATTACCACCAGTGCCATCCATGACAAGGTCTTCAGATGGTGAAGGCTATGAGTGCCTAAGGCTCAACCAGGACCCCAGGCAGATGCATGCTGTAGTCTGCTCTTGGACAAAGAGGGAGGCAGACAGACAGACAGACACCTCCAGCCCCATCCCCATTCAGAGACTAAAAGCTGCAGCGATAAAAATGTTTATGCCACTAGGGCAAAGCAACTCTAGGAGGGACCTGGCTGCAGCAAGATCACGTGGAACCGGGAACACCTCGGGGAGTGCCCAGTAGAGACCCCGAGGGTCTCACGTCCCTTGTAGATAAGCACATGGACTAAATGGGCCAGCCACTCTGAAGGAGCTCTGGGAGCAGAACACGGTCTGGGGGCAGATTTTGAGGCTTCTGGACAGTTGCCAGTCAGGCTACACAGAGGGCTGTCTTAGGCCCACCAGTTAAGGCTCTTGCCAAAGACTAATGTCCCTAACAAGTCCACAGCAAGATGACACAGCTCTTTGGGTGGGAGAGCTGACCTCAGCCAGGGCTGCAGAGACAGGAAGAGACGTCCGGAGAACAGGAGTGTTCTAGAACCCCTAAGGCTCCCTACACCCTCTGCACCTGCAGAAGTCATGAGAAATGATGAGATCTCAGTGTTTACTCTCTTCTCGGAGAAGATTCCAGATATCCAGGTGAAGCTTAGACTAGGAGAGGTTCCGGCACAGGGTTATGGGTTACTGATCAGGGACCCCGAAACTCAGGCTCAACTCCCACCCTTTAAATGATCCCCTAACTTCCTCAGATGCAAGTACCACTCAGCAAGTGTGAATGAATGGTGATACAATTTTAATTTTAATTTATTGTTTATCTATTTATTTGTATGTGTGTGTGCACGCGTGCACATGTGTACCATGGCAAGAGCATAGAGATCAGAGGGCAACTTTCCTTCTAACATGTAAATTCTGGGGATTAAACTCAGGTCGTCAGGTTTGGTAGCAATTGTGTTTTACCTGCTGTGACATCTCACCTGCCCAGGGAACCAGACTTTACAATGAAGGACAAATTTTTTATTCATGCTTAACCTAAGAAATTACACCAAAAAGGGAATGATGGGTGAGCAAATCACGTTCTCTTGTGGGAAAGGTAAATGATGTCTGGGGTTCCCAGCCAGCATTCTGCATCACATAAATTATACCAATAACATGTTATAGGAGAAAATTATAGTAATCATAAATTCCTATAAATAGTTAAAATTGTGCCCTGAATCCTATAAAATAGCACACATTTACAACGTGCACGGATTAAAAATGAAGTTAAGACTATTTCTCCACCACATGAAATCATAATTCTTACGTGAGAATTTATTTAAATAATTAAATGGAAAACAGGCTATATAAAAATTATTCAATGAATAATGTTTCTTTTCCTGTCTATTTGAGTATGGGTGGACTGGATGTTTACCGTGTTTTTGTTCCTTTGGTAAATTTGCTTGTAGCAATTGGGATATTTCAAAAGACTCCCCGACTTTGAACCAAATTTTAGTATAGTATTTTTTTAATATGTATGTATGGGTTTATGCGTGTTTTCATGTGTGTGGGTGCATGTATGCAGCAGAGGCACAAGGCTGCCATCAAGTGTCTTCTACAGTAGCTCTCCACCTTTAATGGGTCACTTGGGCACCTCCATTTGGCTATTGGATTCTTGAAACAATGGATCCCAAGCAATTAAGAGTTTCCCCAGAAACCTTCATGTTAAAAGAACAGATGGAAACTTGGTGAGAAAGAGGAAAAATTTGTCTCTCTGCAAAGAGATTTCATACAGATCTGACAACTTGCCAGACTATCCTTTAAAGAGAGATTGGAGCTAGACAATGATGGGCAAGACCACACCTTGGCCAGTATAGCTTAGTTAAGTGTGCCTCTTGTCCTCTCCAGAAACCCAAACTTCACATTAGGACCAGAAGATAGACTTCTCTTCCAGGGGCTGAGAGGTGTTTTGGTACACTGTCCTACTAGTTTACCCTACAAGCTCTGAGTGAGACATGGGTGGTCTGTCTGGCTCTCCTACCAAAGGGATAGTCAAGCCCCACGAGGTTCTTGTGGGCTGGGGCACTGGAGAAAGTGGCCTCACCAGGGCCCTTGCTGTGCTGGAAGGTGACTAAGAAACATGCCTGGACATGGAGAAGGTGTCCCCATCTTTCTTCCTCCTCCATCAGTCCCCGAATGGGCAAAGAGAGCTAGGGGAGTTGGTCAAGGAGCCGACTGTAAACTAGACGGGACTTTAATAACCAAAGGGAAGAGGATAAAAAAACCTGCAAGCTGTGCCTGAAACAAAACCAACCTTTTCATGGCTGTGCCTTGCCAAATCCAGAAAACTTCCTTGGCCTGCTTTCTTCAGGTTGGGTTTAGCATTAGACATGGAGGGATTGAGAATTGAGGCCAGAAGAGGGTATAACAATGATGGAGAAAGACGGGAAAGGGGACAGAAGGAAGGAATGCACAGGAGGAAGGGACACAAGAGAGAGAAACTGAGGCAACAATAGGGAGAGGTGAAGATAAGCATGGCTGATCTCCACACCAACTGGATTGAATTAGGAGCTGCCAGGGCATCAGTGACACACACCTTTTCTAGAAAGAACTGAGGGAAGAATACCGGTGTACCATCCCAAGGGCTGAGGGTCTGGGCTGAGGAAAATGGAAAGAAATCTAGGTAACTATCTTTGTTTCTCTGTTCTGTCTCTTGATCCACTGAGATGTGGAGTCCTAACAGCCTGCTCCAAGACTTCATAGACCACCCTAACTTGGAGAGAAGTTAAAATAAGCCTTCTTCTCTTGAAAGTTGCTCCCTCGGGTATTTTGTGGCAGTAACAAAGTAACTAATGCTCTCACTCCAAATCAAGTTGTCAGAGATGCTCAACAGACAGCGAGGGACACTAGGGTGCTGGTCAAGGGTGTTCAAGCAAAATCGCCCTGTGATTTGATTCACCCAACAGAGCCAAACCCAGGTTAGGTTTAGTTCTAGAGCTGGAGGAAGTCACCTTAAAGACCTATAACCCCCCCCCACCACCACCACCACCACGTGCAGTGCTGTCTGGCTCTAACACCTTACTTGGCCAGCAGGCTCATGAGGTAGGTGGAAGTGTTGGTGTCCAGTCTCAGAGGAGGCACCGTGACGTAGGCGGCTGCGTGGGACCAGTCCTGGTGGTAGTAGTGCAAGCCTGTGAGTGTAGCATGTGCGTTGGTGGTCTCAGCCAGCACCACTTTCCCTGGAAGAAGAGTCAAAAGCATAACCAGGAAGGCCCTGGTCTACGAGGTGGTTGGGCCGCACATCTTACTACACAGTTAAAGGAGCTGAAAACAATCAGGAAAAGGCTCGCCCCAGCTTGCTTAGGCATGAAAAAGCCCAGAGACTTTCTTACTCTGTTGACCATGACGGACATGGATTCTGAGGCCAGGGAGCATAGAAGAGAATTTTGAGGAGTCTAGTGTAGCCTGGCTGTGGGGGAGTGAGGCAGGGTGAACGTAGGGCTTGCATTGCCAGGCCTAGGGGGCAGTCCAGGCTGTTCTCTGGGCAGGCAGGGGCTGTGTCAGCTCTGGGAGCTACTGGGGCAGAATTCAGAGCAGATTAGAAATCAGAAAGTCAGGAGAGGGGTTCATCCAGCAAGAAGGGCCAACAGTCCAGCTGGAACCTCCGCTGAAGGAGAGGCAGACTGGAGGCCCAGATATCACAACATTATGAAGGCTGTGGCACCCACGCTTCTGGCTTACACCCACAGAGTTCTGCCCCGACTGTTTCTCCTGTTACCAGTACCCCTTTACCAGTACTCCAAGCTACAGGGTTCAGTACTTCCAGGGGTTTTGTACTGGGAGTCACATAAATGCCCCTGGAGGGTCAGAAGCAGAGTTCAAGGTGGTGAGAAAGGGAAGTTGGGCCCACACACTGTTATTTCACCAGCGACTTCCATCCTGCCTGCCCCCACCTCCACTGGAACTGGTTTACCATTTTGTTAGTTGCCAAGGTAACTGTTAGTTCAACATAACAGATCAAAAAGACTTCAGTTAATGAGTCAATTTAAGACTTTAATTTGACTTGACCTGATCAGGGTCATGGACATTTCTGGAAAGCTGCTGTGCACACAAACAGGAAGAGAAGGACTGGTTCTCATATACTGAGCCCAGGCTAGCTCAGCACACTGAGGCAGACAGTTGTGAAGAAATGGGAAGGGCAGGCTATCCCTGGTGTCAGCAGCCAAGCCTGGCAAATTGTGAGTGGATGGACCCTATCCTTTTCTGAGCCCACAGCATAAAGTACAAGGACTCACCTTGCATTTTAGCAGCTGCAATCACATCACCAGCTGAGATGCTGGACACATTGACCAGGTAGATGGGACAGTGAGTCTAAAAGCAAGAGACATCAGGAAATGGCAGCAGGACCTGCCTCAGAAAGCTGCCACACACCCAAACCACCCTCCATCGGTCCTGTGTATCACTCGGTACTCATCACTAGATGGTAGTTTACGCTCAGGATGCAGGGCTGGCGGTCTGAGCACACAATAGAAGGCTGCAGAACTGTGTGGAGCAAGGCAGAAGCAGATGGAAGGAAGCTCGCATTGGGGACCACCAACCCAGGAGGTGACCTCAGGTTGTAGCTGATGAATCTAAACCTCAGATTTTCTCTGATCTCATGGTTTTTTTTCCCTGTTTCATTTTTTTTTCTGTTCACAAACATGATGACCCAGAAACAGTCATGTGTTACATCGTATACCTGACATTTTGGTGCCTGTGGTCTGAAGGAGGTGTTATCAACAGATAGGATGTACCCAGGAGAAAAACAAGGCTCAGAGTCTAGGCTGGACAAAACTGATCTTGTAAACATCTGGATTGTCATATGTATCAGCTACTCTACAGAACTGTGCAAACATAGCCCACAGCCTAATTTCTTTGGACACATTTGCGCTGAGAACCAAGGAGCTGATGGTTGTGGGCTGGGTGTCCATCAGGAAGTATTTGGTAAGCTAACTGTTGTCATGACAACAGAACAAGGTCCAGCCCTTTGAGGAGATAACAGGAAACCTTCTGAGATGTCAGTCTGTGCCTTCACTGGTTGGTTATCAAGTTAGGAGACAGGGGCTATGAGGTACCTGGCATGACCTGATCAATCCTAGGGTTGGCTGATCCGCAGCCTCTCTGTCCTCTATATTCCTAAGACCACACTTCTGTGTTTACACCCTTCTGGACAGCCCAGGCCATTCCAGAGGGGAAGGTCTCAAGCAGAATCCCTCATTAGAACCACAGGACTGGGGGGGGGGCGATGAACAAACTCAATACAGAATGCTGGGCACTATGCCAGTTTCTGATTGACTGGGTCAGAGCAAACCAAACCCTGGCGACACTTGCAGGAAAGGCCGCCTTTCCATGGTACAAAGAACTCTCTCCCTTGCTTTGGTTCCTCAGAGCCCTAGCAGCTGTCCAGAGTAAGTGATGCCATCACTCCAACTTCAGATAATGAGTTGGCGAATGAGAGGAGGGCATGGGGTGCAGATGGTTGAAAGCACGTATTCATTAGATAAGAGCAAGGCTCTAGTTTCTGAACCATCTCTAGCTGGTTCCTGCCATGCTCCACCAGTGCCTTGTTAAGGGTTTTTTTCTGAATCGAACCAGGGAAAGAAGCTGGAAAACAAAGGCCCCAGCAGCACAGGGTTAAATGATAACCTTCCAAGCCATTTATACTTGAGCCATGAATCTCAGTTTCTGAAACTTCAGTCCTTCATCGAGCTCAAAGGGGTGGGGCAGAGTGCTGGGGCTGGCACAGCAGAACTCTGAAACTAACATGTCCATTCAGCTGGGGTACTGACAGCCACTTGCGGCATTGGCTGCCAGACAAGAATGAGTTCATACCATGGTCCCAGTGTGGAGGATGGGGGGCTACTTACCCTGTTTGCAATAGTGATGACTCGATGAGTGGCTTCGGCTTCCAGCTGTTAAAAACAAGGGGCAACAAGGAACCAAGCTTCACCATCTCCTTCCAGCCAGCTGCACCAGCCTGAGAGCTCTCTATTCAGAAAGCGCTGGAGCAGCTGACACAGAAGAGGGGCTGGCTGTACCCACAGGGACTGGTTGTGGATAGAGGCAAGACTCTGGCAGGAGCACCAGGCCCCAACCACTGGGACTTCCACAGAAATAGAGTCCCAGGATTTAGGATACCAGGTGCACCTTGGTGGATGCCACTCAGGGCTTAGAAAGGTGCTTGCTGGGCAAGCCAGGTGACATAAAATTGTTGCTTGGAAGGGACAGAGCTGTCCTCTGACTGCCACAAGTATACTATGGCACCCTTCTGCCATACTCAAAGTAATGATAAATTGTTTAAAAAGTTTGAAGGCAACGAGAGGATATCAAACAGACAACGTACAGTCTCACGCCTCCCTGTCTGCTAGATCATTCACTCCATGATCACAGAAATGCAGATCCATATATCAAGATGGAGATTAGCCCAGATCAGGGTTTCTGTACCCTAGTGTTACTCAGCCAACTAAAAACATCTCTAGACACTCAGTGTTTTCTGGGCGGTCAGTCTGCCCTGGCACAGACCCAGGTGCCTTCTTTTTAAGCAGTAGATGCTGATAGTAACAATAATTGCTGTTTGCAGAGCCTTGCTCTTCCTCTTGTTACCTGGTACAGACAGATAAACCTGGCACAGACAGCTAACGCCCAAGTCTGTCGACTCTTTGTCAACCTTGTTGTCATAAATCCACCCTGTGAATCAAGTGCTCCAAGTCTCTAGGAACCCAGGGTGGCCTTACATTCACAACATAGCAGAAGACGACCTTGAACTTCTTGATTCTCTTTCACCTCTTAAGTGCTAGAACTGTGGGTGTACACCCCACTTTCAGTCATATGTGGTGTTGGGTAGAGATCCAGGACTTCATGGATGCCAGGCAAACATCTACCAAAAGAGCTACATTCCCAGCTCTGCTTCATATTTCTCTACAGGTCCTGAGGTGCCCAAGCATGACTTATATTTACATCAGGGACCGATAGGGACAGGACCAAGGTGGGAAGAAAGCAAGTCAAGTTGGCTTGTGGGTGATGGTAGGATCACACACAGGGTCTCCTGGACTCTAACCACTACCCAGCTATAACTGATTGACTGACTGAGATAGGCTCTCTCCATGTAGCCCAGGCCTGCCTGGAACCTGAACCCTTTCTGCCTCAGCCTTGCTAGAGCTGGGAATACAGATCCTACATCACCCTCCCATTACTCTGCATTTTAGGCTCTGAAGAAAAGAGAAGTTGCTTTTTACTGCAAGTGGTGAACATGTCTAATACGGTACTAGCCCAAGAAGGCATTATTTATCTACTGTGGTTCCACCGGAGCAGAATCACTCAGCAGTGGACCACTGGATACCCAAGCCAATGCCCTACGAAAGTGCAAACAGGGCTCCAAGCAAGGGACTCTTCCCGCCCTGGCAAGAAAGAGAGAGTGAGAGCAGGGACAGGCACATGCTTTGTTTCAGTCTTCCTCCGTTAGACTCACATCTCCAGAATGCAGAGCCCTGGCTGCAAGCTTAATTTTCTTCTAACACATGAAGGCTCTGTCCATCTCTTTTGTCTCTGCACTCGATTCTGGATCAAGTGACCCCTGGAATGGTCTCCCCAAAGCCTTGAGATTAGAATTAAATGGGGCGTGACAGGGTTTATCCTGTTCTTCCAAGGAGGGTCAAGGTAGCCTCAGCTGGGAATCTCATGGGGGGGGGGTCAGGAATGATGTTACATATAGTTCCACTCTGTAAATGACATAATTTTATCTTCCTCTATTCATTTTCTGAGAGAGGTCTCGTGTAGCCCAAGCTGGCTTCAAACTTGCAATGTAACATATTTTTGACATCTTCTAAAAGACTGCAAGACTGTTATGGTTCCCCACCGTCTCATGATACAAAATCTTGGTCCCTAGATAGTGGTGGTATTTCCAGAAACACGAGGCAAGGCTGAGCTGCAGGAAGGAGGTCATAGGGATGGGTCCTTCCTTGGTAGTTCCCCGGCCACTTCCTGTTTCACTCTCTGCTTCTGGCTGACCTCAAGTGAATAGCTCTCCTTTACCATGACGTTCTATGCAATTGGAAACATCCACTGAATTCTTTGAAACCATGAGCACGCACAAAATAATATAATAATAATAATGATGATGATGATGATAAAGTTTTCTCTCAGGCTTATTTTCAGTGACAGAAAGTTAATGGATACAGAAAGTCTGCATGAACAAAATTGACCATAGACACAGGAATTTCTCCTACCTCCTCTGGACGGCTGATTTCTATTCCTTCTGGGCCTGTGATACCCAAATCTAGAGCCTCCTTAGCACCCTGAATAATAGCAAGAGAAAGACAACAATCACAGAGATACAAGAAACTACCAAACCCAAGGGACAGTAAAGTATGCCAGGCATGTTTTCCTTCTGTAGTGTACATTTTCCAAAGAATAAACCAGAGGACTGAATGCAGTAAACTTCTGATTCTCTCCTCACTTTTTAATGTCTGGACAATACCTTTTATTCTTAAAAAACACAGCCCAGTTGCTAAGCAACGGCCAGGGATACCAAAGACAAACACCAGTAATTGGTTTAAAAGTTTGAGCTGTCACTCTGGGAATCTCAATAAATGTCTTTGGTATCAGCGACTCCTAGATCAGCTTCACCCCAAGACTTAGAAGGACCAAGGGGTCCACCCTTTGTACCAGAGAACAGACTCTCGTGAAGTAATAGTTCTGATGGAGAGGAAAAAGGAGTGTTGACATTTATTTTTGCATGCTGTATCTCAAAAATTATTCCCAAGAGATGTTCTAAATTATTTTGCTATAGTGGAATTTAAATATCATAACATTCACACTAAATTATTACCTAAGACTTAAGAAACCTCTTGGAATATAAAGAGATTTTAATATGTATATTTAGCATACATATCATATCTATATCTATATCTAAAGTTTGGATCTCAGACCAAGATTTGACACCCCAGATGTTCCCATCTCACACCATCTAATTACTTGATTCATGTGAACCTTGAAGGACAGGGACAAGTGATCGAATCCCTGAACACTGTGTCCATTGGCCCCACCCCACCCCACCACCTCTGTTGCTGACTTGCCTCAGCCACGAGCTCCCCATTTTCAGCGTGGACTCGGGGGATAGCCCCAAAGTCCCTGCAGGCATGAAACACTTGGTATAGCTCACTGTCCCGAAGCATGTACAAGTCCTTGTAGGTCATGAACATCTGGAAAGAGTTGACCCCGTTCTCTCGCACTAGTGTCTCCATTTCTGCTTTCACCTGGAGAGCAAAACACAAAGTCAGTGTAGGGAATTCTGAGAAGGGCTGTGGCTAACTCCAGGACACACAGGACACTGCCGTCTGTGCCTGAGCCGACTACTCAGCAGTCCTCCCCATTAGATGTTCACGGGACCTCCTATACACATCAGGATATACTGACCCCCTGCAGTCAGTCAGTACAGGGAGCCAGTGCTCCTGAGGTTGGCCCATGGCCATGGACTCTGTTGCGACGTGATCTCACTGTGAATGCTGGAAAATAGGTTCTTTAAGTTAGGTAGGATAGTCCTCCTCCCCACCATATCTTTATAGACTCCTAAATATTTTGTTTGGCACATAGGGAAGCTAGAGTGGTAGAGGGGGATGCTTTTACACACATTAGAGCATCAGGCACCAGCCAGCTCAGTCACACACCCTTTTGTGCTCCAGACCACTGGTGCCTTCTTTGGGGGTTCCATCAGCACTGTTACCTTGGGTGACCACCAGGTGATCCCCACATGGAGGGCATAGTCACAGCAGACCTTGGGGTCAGCCAGACCCCTGCACTTCTCATAGGCTTCCACGAGGGAGGTCTCCTTGTCAGGAAGGACATGGCCAATGATCATGGTGGTGCCTCCAACGAGTGCTGCCTGAGAACAAGAAGAAAGACAGCCTTGTCACGGCTCTGCCTGCACTCACTATCAAGGTGAGACACGGTGCCCAGGTTGTGCTTAGATCAAGCTTCCTGGGTGGACAGTCGGAAGAGAAAGTCAAATATCCCTATGGAATGGTAAAGTGCCATCGTGATGGGTGTGTTAATTATCCTAATTACTTTCTTTTCCAAAGGGGTGAAAAAGCCCGATATAGCTGCCTTCTCTATAACAAACAGGGGGCACTGCTGGAGACTAAGGTACGGAGAAAAAGTCTAGCAGCCAAAAAACAATTGAGAATGAAAAATCTCAACACCCTGTGGTCTGACTTCTTGCACTGCTCAAAGCAACCAACA